GAACCTGCTCATCGCCTTCTGGCAGCCGAAGCGGGAAGGGGAGACGGCGGCAGCATAACAACGGCTGAAGAAGATCGGCGAAAGGACGATGAAGATACCAGCAGAAATAGAGTTGCTACCCGTTCTTAATAACGCGGTGCCATTACAGCACGTTATAAAAGGCTCCAAGGACACCGCCAGTTGGAGTCTAAACTCGGCAATTTGAATATATCCTCACTCATAAGGAAATAACAAGAGTTCGTCGATAAGGCCATAAAATACCAACACTAAATAGTTGAACTCTCGTCAACGAAACCCGAAGGCTCCGGAATCCTGAACCTCTGTGGCTGGAAGATATTCTACTCAGGTGTCGACATCACGACGCATGCTTAGGCCGGAGTTGGCTCACAGAATCATTGAATAGAAGCCAATCCCCGGAAAGGTGGCAATCATCTGACTGCAGCTGCAGGAATCGTACGGGCTGACCTTGTTACAGGTCACTGCGGCCAATCTTGAGGGAGAATATGACTCCTTCCCTGAGGAAGAAGAGTGTGTTCTTTGCGAACTGCCGAATACAGAATCCATCATTCTAATGCACGATTTTAACGCCCACGTTGCAGCACACACTGAAAAGTGGAAACGCGTGATTAGGAAAAACGGCCTTAGGGACCTCAACAATAAGACACGAAGTTGTTACGGCTTTGTGCAAACAACGGATTGTCTATTATGAACACATTCTTCGAGCATCGAAGAGTGCATCAGTATACCTGGTACCAGGAAGACTGTTCACAGAAATCGATGATCGACTTGATAATCATATCATCTGACTTACGAGCTCTGTAAAGCATGTTGGAGATAAGAGAGGCGCAGAACTGTAAACTGATCATCACCTTGTTGTTGGCACGCTGCGCTGTAAGAAATGGAGTACCATACGAAGATCCGGCGGCCGAAGCAACCGGAGAATCAAATGGGAAACAATATCTTCGGTAAATAAAACTTCTGGTGACACGAGAGCGAAATTTGCAAACAACATCGCACGGCGGTTTGAACGGATCCCAGTGATCACAACTGATGTTGAAACCGAATGACAGCTCTTTAAGAGCGGCATACTCGAGGCTGCCACCGAATGCTGCGGACTTAAACGGGATGGCCTGCTGCCTGAAGGTCAGAAACGAATTTCCGTGTGGACATTAGAGGGCACTACTGGCAGTTAAAGGGAAGAAAACAGCGTTCAAGAAATGGCTTGGAAACAAAGAGCCTTCTACTCAAGTGCGATATTTCGAAGCACGGAAGGCAGCAGTGAAAGCAGTGGCAGCAAGCCAAAACTGATTTATGGGAGAAGTTCGATAAGGTGTTGGAGTAGAATTTGCACACGGCACAATGCTGGTAGCACGTGCTGCATTACAGTTATTGGCATTACGTCAAGACTTTTCAACGTTGGCACTGGTTTCCCCAAGGCGATATTCTGTGTCATCTCCTGCTTGTGTTGCACATGGACAGAATGGCCAGACGCGGCCAAGACGATGGGTTTATCGGTGTAGGAGATGGGAAAACGAAAAGGTTGTTGTTCGCAAACGACCCTGTTTTACTGGCACTTCTGAAACTGATCTACAGTTCTCCCTAGAGCGACGTGATCGGCATGCGTGTGAACGAATCTGAAACGAAAAGCGTAGTCATTTCTCGTTATCCTCTCTGTTGCTCTCTTCAGACAAATCGAGAAACAGTGGAGCAGGTATAGAAGTTCAAGTACCTCGGAACTGTATGGAAAACTGGAGGAAGAGATCGACCGGCGAATTGGAGTAATCAGTGGAGTTCTGCGTGAATTAGCCCGATCCACGGTGACCAAATCAGAGCTGAGTTTGATGACTATGCTCTCGATATTGGAAGTCGATCTTCATCCCCATGTTTACCCATGGCCATGACTCGGTGATCATGACTGAGAGGCTTCGATCCCGGGTACAAGCGGCTGAAATGAGCTTTCTGAGACAAATCGCTGGCCTTACGCGTCTCACCATGATAAGGAATACAGACATCCGCGAGAGCCTTGGTGTGCGGCCGCTGTCTCCTGAGATTGAGAAGTCACAACTGTGATGATTTAGGCACGTTTGGAAGTACATTAAGAAAGATAAGCGAAGCAACTACTTCTTGCCCAGATTAACTTGCTGCAGGTATACTGAAGGAATCTGCTCTAGACTCCGGTTGTCTGCCGAAGTTCAGACTGGCACAAGATGGGTAACGTTGGAAGCACTGTCTGAGGCATCTGGCCTTGTGACCCGAAAGGAGAAGCAGTCATGGAAGATGAAGCTGAAGAAGAAGAACTGTGAATCTGACTGTGCCTTATCTGATCAAACTAACACTAGATTGATGGAAATACTGTATATCAAAACACTGTTATAACCGAAGCTGAGTCTTTTATCGCAAAATTCAGTTCAAAATTCGAAAAATCTTTGATGAAATGACACCCGTATCGAATGTCATATCAATAATGAGTGTCATAACCTAAAGGATTCTTCAATTCATAATATGTTTAAAAAAACATCGCCGTAAACAACCCTAGAGCCTCACAAACAAATTACTTATCGCGTAGGTGATAAGTTATCTTTATAGATGGCAAAACTATCTTATTCGAACTGTCGAAATTTCAATCCTTCCAATCTTTCGTTCAAGGTTAATCGCGACGCGGTGGCACAGGGCCTAAGTCTAGGTCTGCTTTGAACTCCGGAGGTGTCGGGTTCGATGCCGCTCGAGGGCAATCTCTGTCTTACGGCCGAATTCTCTTTCCTACGGAATGTACCAAATACTGCTTCTGACCAGGGTTTTTCAGGTGATAGAGCGTCGAATTTAGAACCGATAGGTCCCCTTCTTCCTTTGAGGTTGATAAATTGGTACCCTTATTTGGGAAAGAAACAGGAGACAACACGCTACGCTTGCTACTAACTGTAGTTTCTGCCTTTAAAATAAGACACTTATGGCTAATAGCACAGAAACTGAGATCATCGCCATATCATCAACTTCATGAAAAGAAGGTCATCATAATAACCGAATCATGCAGGCAAAGGAAGTCCGGCATTCTGATGGTGACAAACTTTCTCTTTACCTTTTCCAACGTGAAAATATTTATTCAAATCCCTAAAGATTCATCCACACAAATATGATAGAAGAAACACAGAACAGACAACAGTTTATCGAAACTTTATCGGTTACAGCTTATTGAAACAAGATCCCAGATAAGCTTGCGTCAAACGCGAAATTAAGCACTGGCTCAGTTTACAAAAAACAAAAGAATAATCATCTTCATCTTCATCCTCCATCGCCGCTTCTCCGCCATGGCCGATCCCAAGCCCGGATGAGAAAGGAGGAGGGATGGAGACCGTGGCAAGTCTCCGTAAAATTCAGTCACCTGCCACTCATGGTATTTACGCCATCGAAAATTATACCTGCTGGGTGGTCGCCCGGGTTACCAAGGGTCGCGAAA